CGTTTGTGCAGTTAGCAGCTCTAAATTTGTCCGGATATCAGTGTCTCTACCTGCCTAATCCAATGGCAGAAACTTAACTCCAAGTTCCAGAGGAATCCGTTTAGTTCGAGGACTCAGCGACTAATCCTAACCGAAATCCATACAGTCCGAAGAAATGAGTAAAAATCGTGAGGCAATCGCGGGAGAAGATCCCCGTAAAAATCGTCAGAGACAAATGCCAAACTTTCCAGTCAATTAGAGTCGCTCAGACTTGGGGTAAGAGTCGGCAAGAGTCGGGCTGGTTGGCCGGCTCGAAGTTAAACCTATTATTAGAATATTTCATCCCCCGTAGTGAAAATGTCAAACGGACATCGGGGAGTGATTTCTTCTCAGGTGGAAAAGATCCCAAAGCGGTCAGATCAAAGCCCATCCTCGATAACTGCTAAGGTTGCGCGCGACATGTCCACATTCTTAGAAAGGAATGAATATCCTTTCCCAATTCGATTCAACACGACACGATGATTCACGGAAAAGAAAACATAATAACAGTAGAGAATAATAATGCATTATAAAAAATCCAATATAGAAAAGAAAAACGATAACGAAAGACCAACCGTTGACTCATCCCGTTTGGATCACAAAAGTCATCCGAATTGGATCGGCTCCATATCCCTGGACAGAATGGATACCATCCATCCATGGAGCAATTATTTTGCGGGTCTCACTCGAGAGAATCCCGCAGCGCGACTTCACGGACAGGAAGACAAATGGCCGGCTGGTAGCAGCCATATTATATTTTAAAGCGACCTTAATCGGTTGCTCTCTGAACAAAAGGAACTTTTCTCACAATATTTCTCTCAATAGATCCACATACGTGCCTACGCGTACGCTAAATCACGGATTTTTCAATGAGATAAACAATTTTTTCCTCGACGCGTTTCATTCAATTCTTCAACCGGTCTTGTATTTTTACGAAATATTTCACTAGAAGAATTTGCTGCCTCGTTCACAAAAGTATATATTTTCATTATTGAAATACGCCCTGTACCCTCCTATCTCTCGGCAAAGTATGTACAAACATGTCATGTAGCTACACCACTGCTATCCACTTCTAAAGCAGTAGTGGCAGTGCCGAAACTGCGAGCACTAATTCGGCTGCATATTCACCGTAGTCGTGGCGTTTTTAAAAACAGCGTATATACGTAGCCCCATTCTAAAGCAATAGCAGAATGTGGAAGTGCACCTATATTTAAATGGGCAAGAGTAGCCAGGAGGCAGACGGAAATGATAGTCATATAGATATGTCTGCTCGGAAATCCAGGGGGAGTAACGAGAGAATATCAATACGTAACCGAGTATGATAGTCACATCTGATTTTCCGAGCGCATCGGCACGTGTATAATGTTTTAATGGAGTTTGTGGAGTACGGAGAGTGCGAGAGAGGCTTGGAAGAGAGATGTAAAGAGGATGAGAAGAGCAATTCCGAGAAGAGGGCTATAGAGGGTTGCTCGCGGCGAGGTCAGAGGGTACGAGGCTAAGGGCGAAGTCGGAATGGTTTACATACCATTTACTCTCGCCCTGTAACCTTCGTGAACCTATTGTTTGCAGTGCTGTACAAACGGGTTCACATCGGTGCAGCTATACCGTACCACTGTCTTGGCTTTCTCTATCATTCCGTGATAACGATAGTAGCTCACAGTATGGCTAAAATGCGTGGTCCAGTTTGATAATAAGAAAGCGAGTGAATAAATGCACCATTTCATTCTACTTTGGATTTTATTATTACAACAAGAAACAATAGGCAGCTGGTGATCATTGAGAAAACAAGAGTCTGCTACGTCTGCCTTCATGCTGAAATGAAAGTAACAGTAACTAATAATGGCACTTTGGCCATGGTTGGTGATTTTAACAGATATAGCTGTGGAAAGAAAAAAATGACGCACCTCCACTACTCCAAGTCCATTAGCAATGATGCAACAGCGGTTGTCTCTGTCTTATCGTCTCTCTTGCTCTCTTTTTTTCTCTCGACCAACGCTCTGTCTCTTGAGCCAGACCCAGCACCTACGATACGCAGGGGCACGAGAGCATCGTTCCAATTGGATTATGTCAGTGCGCGGTGTAAAGATAATGGGCTGAACTTCTCATTAACGCTAGACTCATTACCTGCCGTAAGATAATGATCGTTGTGAGAGTTATCGTGCGCGAGAACAACCACGAGGGATCGAACTTATAAATCCTCTATGTAACATCCAATATCACGTGGTTGGGTTTCTGTGCTATATCGGAATGTTTAAGAACACGAGTAAATTTTGAGAATAGTAAAATGTTGAAAAAGACTTTCATAGACAGTTTGTGAAACTTAGGTTTGTTATTTTTTACTTTGTTTTTATCTTCTGAGCGAAAACAAGTAATAGACGGGATACACTTGGATAGTTTTCTTTTGCACAATGCCGATAGTCAAAGGGCGAGTCTAAAGAACCCCTGGAGCACGTCGCGGGAAGGTCAGTGTCGGATTCTTGGTTAGGTGTATTGGCGGTGTCTCCCTGTTGCCCCATACCGAGCGAATACGCCCCCATCCTTGGTAATAAATGATAGTTTTCATAATTAGCGGTCCCTTTCCGTCTAGTATACGTTTGCATTTGCGTTTGCATGCGTAACGACCTGGAACCCTCCTGGTATCTACCTGGTCCGGGCCTCTGTGCCTCATCACCCTTGAAGTGTCAACGACAGCAGGTGTAGCCCTATTGTCTAAAAGTGCAAGATAACCCTGTGCAATTGAACGCGAATACTTGGAACGTGCCGTGACTGAGTTGACAGTTTCAGAAGGACAATGGATGGAAGTTTTGGACTTGGACAATGAGAAAATTGTACCTTTGAAATTCGATCCGTGCATTTTTGCAAAGAAATTTTCATGCTCAGAATACGCTGACAAGTGAACTATTATGAAGAGTTTAGTCACGCTAACGATACCTTCTGTAAAATGTACACGATTTACGGGATCAACAGTATTGGGAAAATTGTCATTTCAGTGGTGTCGAAAATATGCTTCGGAAAGTACTCGCAATATAGATATGTGAAATTGTTGAAACTTAAGTGAATATAATATAACGTAACGTAATAACCTCGGCAAATTAACCGTGTCAGAAATCGTGATATCCCACCAAAAATATACAGTTCCAAATAAAACCGTGGCAGTGGTATCACACAGTTCGCTGGCCGCTGGGAATCCAGTGTCGCGCTGCAGTTCATTGAAACAGAAGCATAGAATGAGAAGAGCAGCAAAAGGGAACAAATAGCGAGTAAGGGAAAGTGGAAAAATTCGATAAATTGCGGAAGCACTCACGCGTGTAATCCTTTTTTGTTTATTGTGAGATTTGAGCAAATTTATTTAAAAAAATGGGATTACACTTCCACCCTCCAAGCTTTTTACATTTAAAACTCAAACCTTTCGCGTTAAACATTCATGCCGCCTTTCGACTATCGTAAAGATAATTCACGCAATATCACAAATATTCCTTTCGAAGGATTTACAAGTACATACGTTAGACTTATTCTAGCGACATCAGCAAATCAATTGAGAGGATTAGAATTGACCGATCCGAAGCGAGATCATTCGTGATTCTAAGGCAGAGGTGCGTTCTTCCGAGAAAGGACCACTCTAGGTGGCAGATCGTCATCACGGTTTAATTAAATCGAAAATCGAAGAGTCATTAATGACAAGTGGCGCCCAATCGCGATGACTCCATGATTTCTATTGAATGCACGCTGAGAGACCGAGTGGGAGAGCGGATAGTGGAACGCCAGGAGGGTTGGGACCATTCGATCCATTGGGACCGCTGGGACGATCTGTGGGTCTGGGACCCACATAGAGTATCTATAATGACAATAACAGCCACTAGAATAGGACCATTCCTTATGTAAGAAACACCGCCTTCTCAATGTTATCGATTGGCCCAGACTAAATGAAAAAACAAAAAACAAAAAAAAAATCGTAATGGATCCTTCTGTGCGCACCGAGAGCGCCTCTCGCCGATCTTTCTAGCAATGATTCGTCCCTGGTCCTTCCACCTCGCCCTTCGGTGCCACCTAGGAGCAGGTCCATATCTTTACTACGTGAACTCTCTTTCGCGTACAGTACCTACCGAATTCTCTCTTTCTCTTTCTCTCGTTCTACGAACAAGTCGGACTCTCCTGCATTTAAGGCGCTGCGTGCGAAAAGCGTGACGGCCCGAGGGAAAGCCGATTGACTGTTTCTCTTACGACTCCGTTGCATTCCCCAAGCAACGGAAGCGTAACCCGCAGGAGTCTTTATTCGGATCGGACGTATGAAAGAAGGAATAAATGAAAAAAAATGAGGAAGAAGCACGTGCAAGGGAACGGTCTTTAGCTGAGGTCGCTCTAGGTCAGGTTGTCAGGTCCTAGTTGTTCATCGGCAGCGGATTGATGGATGCTGGAGTTTCATGAAAAAAATTCACATGATAGGGAGACTCTAGACAACTCGTCGAGGAATAGACGTATGCGAACGTGAACCGATGAACACGGATGCTGACGCTAGCGCCAGGATGAATGGCAGTGATGTAGACTTTGCACTGTCTGTATGGTAGAGACAGGCTAGTTTACTCTCGATACAAAAAAAAAAAAAGAAGCAACCACATACGTAGTATCTCCAACCGGCAAGAAGGAGGATGAGGATACGAGGTAGAACTCGTGGAGGCGGTGGACGAGGTTGAGGTCGGTACTAGCTAGGAGGTTCGCGGCTAGTAGGTTCAGAGGCTCTGAGACGGTCTCCTGGACCAAGAAGCAAGGGGGGTCAGCAGCCGTCCGGAGCCAACCAGTGGCTCGTAGAGAGAAGAAGAGGGTAGGATTTAATTCCGTGGCTGCTAGCAATGGATGGAAGATGCGTTCTCTCTAGCGAGAGAGAAGGCAGACAAGGAGGAGAAGTAGTAGGCGTAGAGAGAAAGAGAGAGAGTGGGGGTGTCAGGCTACATAACCTAACGTCTCTGGTTCTCTGTATGTTGCAGCGCTCGCGCGACTGTCAAACCTCCACGGTGGTGGGGATGTCGCCTCCAGCCCCCATCAGTCTGGTAGGGAGGACAAAAGCGTCGTAGGGAGGGTAAAAGCTCCCGGTAGTGGGGATCGGAGCGAACTCGAGGAGAAGGAGGAGAGGCCACTGGCTTCAGAGAGTGTCGAGCCGACGGCCGCGTTTGACGTCGCATCCCTCGTACTCTACGGCTCGCGCGCACTGCCGATTCGCCTTAAGATCTTGCTCGATCAATTGTTTAATCAGTTGCCACACGCGCAAGTGACCCGTCTCCTTGCCGCTTTCGGCTGGACACACGAGGATTACACTAGAGGATACATACTGCAGGTGAGTTAAACGCGGGTATCCCGATCACCATCATTCCCACTCTGACGATGACTTCACGTCCTTGCCCCTTTTTTTAATTCTCGTAGCGTCCGCTTATCGGGCTGCTCTCCATATTTCCCTGCTCTTCTTTTGATCCTTCTTATCCAAATTGACCTATATTTCCGTCAACGCGGATGATGCCGATGACGCCACCTCCGCACCTTATTACAATGCGCCGCGGCGCTTCGTCCGCGAATACAAACAACCGCGAGTGATCGACAGGTGCTTATATGTATATACGGTCCTGCGATTAACACAGAACGCACGTTCTGCATCGTGAAAGTTGCAGCCGACTGACAGGATGAACTGAAGAAGTTACTTGCAGCATCCGTGGACCACTACTTTTGCTCTGGACTTGGGAATCGTATGGTGACATTGACAGCCATCAGATTACTTGATCCTGTCAATTTGTTATGAAACCATACGAAACAATTAAATCATCGTTACTGTCAGTTAAAAGTTTAAATCTTTAAAATAGTGGATCCTCTGACATTATCGTGCAGAAATACTAAATGGACTGTGACAAACGTCAACGATCTGTCGATAAAAATCTGAGATAAATCTCTTGATTGAAACAAGTGTGAACACCAATGAACAGTGTTTTTAAAAGTGCATCGCGTGTGCCGGTACTCGAGTGCTTCCCGATCGGAGATAAAAATGTAAACCAAAGTGAACGTACGTCATGCACGCACCTAATTGCTATCGATTCCTTTAAAAGCACTAAATTAATTCCATATCGTATATACGTCGATGCGTACGCGAAAAACATGTGATTCGTTAATATTCTCAAGATTTAATACGAGACGATTCGAAACAGAATCCAAATCTGTAGTCAACCCCAACCTTCGGAGAAGATCCATTGATCTTTTGAGGCAAATTCATGGAAGGATATAAGACGAGACGACTTCATCCAGAAATTCACTCACTCTTGTCCTGCGTAAGTCCTGATGGCAAAACTGGCCAAGAAAAATACTAATAAGGCAACTCAAATCCCACGATAATCGGTACGAACAATCGTGATCGGTATGTATCGGTGAGAACTGAGGAGAGCGCACGCGTAAACGGAATCGGCGCGACGTTACCGTGAAATTAAATGCATGGAAAACCGGTTTGACCGTACGCAGCCAAGCTTTCGTAGTATTTACTTGGACGCGCGCGCGCGCGCGCGCGCTCGGCTGCAACTCAATCGCCGGTAAGTTTCACACGCGATTGCGTACCCCCTAATGGGGATTTGTTCGCGTACTCCGATAATCGCTTCCGAGCGATACGCCTGTTCATCCCTCTGTCTGTCCCTCTATCTGTCTGACTTACCGACTGACTGTCCGTCCGATTGTCTCACTTTTCTTACCTTTTGTTTCATTTCGCTGCACGACAATTGAATGAATGCCCGAGGGACGGTCGACCAAGTGACGATTCCCGCGATAAACGTATTTTAGATTTGTTTGTTTTTATTAACGTTTTCATACATTAATTTTGATCCTTCGAATCAATCTTTTTATCGGGTAACGCCGGTTTTCAAAAACTTATTGAAAAGTGTTGGATCTCGTATGGAAAAGGAACGAGGGGCAGAAGCAATGACTAAAAAAATGACAGGTGCACGCGTTTTGCATGCGTGATCTTGTAATGAGAAACGTGAGAAAAAATGCAGGCTTTTGTTTCCTTTTTTTTTTCTTTCGAAATTTCTGAATACCGTGAGATGCCTTGTAGGCTTTATTGCGCGTGCGGACTACAAGCGTTGCTGCTTCATACGGAAGCTGTAGTTTTACCAGATGATAGGTACCACGGTATAAAATCTCCCGTGAGAATGGTGCGATCCTCGTCGTGTAGTACACTACGTGTACGCGTAGCTCGATAGAAATAGCGAGGTTCAGATTTAGCCAGACTCTTGTAGTGTTGGTGTTTCACAAGTCCGCGAGAAAACCAGTTTCGCGAGGGTACCATGGAATTCAGAAATTTTACACGCGGCAAAGTGGCCGTTTACTAGGCGCAATGCGCCGGATCGACGCTCGGCGTCTTTCGTGAGCCTCGAAGATGCAAAGAGAGTAAGAGACTGTGCAATCGAGGAAAGGAAAGAACAGGAGACTCGAAGGAGAATAGAAAGACCTGCAAGATTTACGATCGAACGGATCCGCGTTCGCCACTTGGTTGATGCTTCCAGGTTGCACGTTGAAACGATGGAATTTCGACTGGACAGTCGGGAGGCGGCTCATAAAAGAGAATTGAGCTTCCCGACGTGGAGGAGCGTGACCAATTCGCTGAAAACTTTGCGGAACAACTGGGAAGGCCTGAATAATTAATGAAGCTGAAGGAGGAAGGAATAAAGGACTTTCCAATGAAGACTCCAAAATCTGATACGGGACACAACGTATCGACGAAATTTGAGTTGGACACTTTGATTTCAGCTGGCAGTACCTAATCACTCGGAATGAGAACTGGATACCGAAAGTATGTCCCGTATTTGAAAAGAGGAAGCGGAATATTAGGGGCACCTGTAATATGAACAGGATGGGGTCTCGTTTATCCGTCATTCGGTTAGGTTTGGCATCGGTTAATTGCAAGAAATTGGCTCGAATGTCTCCACACGCGTGAGAGATGTGTGCCGGACGGCAGAGGTTCGGTCTGACAAAAAACGTGTTTCATATGTAAATCGTTGGTCCGGATGAAGCGGATGAAGCGGCATGGGAAAAGGTACTTGGCTGAACGTATCGAGGAGAGTCCTCTTTTAAAAAATAGCCCCCGGGCCGTCAAATTATTATATTATCTTATGGTAATATCGATATTAAGTATACGAGAGGCGCCCACAGTCAAACAGATTCGAGTCGCTCAACGGTGGTCAAGTCAAGGAGCATGAGAATCAAAATGAGAATCGGAATGATAATGATAATGACGACGTGGATGAGAAAAACCTACAGAGTATCCATCAAGCAAATACTATACTGTAAACGCATTTGAGTATAGTCGCGAGACTGTAGAAAAATTGGATATCGCTTTTCGAAACGGACCGCTGAACACCGATTTACTAATTTTTCTTAACTCTCCGTGAAAGGAATCGCTCCCTCGTATACGAGTACTTCGTTAGTTGATTATTTTAAAGGAATCGGGGGAGCCGAAGAAACGGATAAAAAGATGGTAGTTGCAATCCAATTTAGAAGCGGATATCCACGCGAGATCTTCACGATTTCTACACACGAATAAGACAGAGTCAGTCGGCGTGAAATGATATGCAGTGTCCAGTCACGGGTGGCACCTTCTTCGATCGCCGCTTCTCCTCCTGTTCACGAGGAAAATGGCACAGTCAGTCTTCACGGTTAAAATCACGCCGCCAGATAGCGCCACCCGAAGGGACAGCAGCAGAGCGGCCTTTCCCTACTGCCACACCAACGGCCTTTCCCTACCGGTAGTCTCATTCTCCTGATCGACTCTTCACAGTCGGGTCCATCCTATGAGATACATACATTTCTTTTTCTATTTGGCCAGTTTTAAGCGGCTTTCGTAATCTTTTGTTTTGAGCACGAAACAGATCTTCCGTACATTAAAATTCATTTGTTTCTAACACGTGGAAATCAGATAATTCTCGGTGGCTTGACTCTTATGTCCCGTCCACGAAAGTGCGACGCAACTTCACGTCAGAGTTTCCTTCGCGTGCGAGATTGAAATTTCAGTCCCACGGTTCGGTGCTCTTGCATTCTCAGACACTCGACCATTTAAATTTTTCCCTTCCTTTTACGTAACAAGGATCGTTTAACTCCTTCGCGGAATTCTTCCGACTCTGCGCAAACGACGCAAACCTTCCGTCGCGCATCTCACCTTGCAAAATGGGACGTCCTAGATTTTCGATATCTTCTATTCAAGTATTGCCAACTTCACGTAGACTCCCTGTCCTTATTATCCATGAATAAGAACTTGATCGCTGTAATGTAGTCACACGATTCCCGGTAGCAGTTCGATAACTCAAACGAACTTTAAAATCACGGTCTAAACTCTGAAACTTTACATCCCAGGCCTCTTCTCTCCCGATATCTTCCTGGAAACATCCTTATCAACACGGAAGTTATAACAGGAGGACAAGGAACTACAAAGAAGACCTGCAGAATCGCTGTTCAAAGTGGAAGCCTTTAAGGTTGAATCGAAACGATGAAAAAACTTGTGGGCGTCTTCAAGATAGTGAACTAGGAAATGAGACTATTGGACTTAAACAAGTATTGGGTTCTTGAAACTGGGATTCAGGATAACGCGTGAGTCTATATGACACGCTGAATAGAAGTGTGGATGTGTGTCTGTACATATGCATAGGTATAGATCCACCTTTGAGACACAGAAGCCTGGAGTGCGTTTGACGATGATCCCGAGTGGGTATGCTGGGCGGTCTTACGCCGCTGAAGAAATATACAGCAAGACGCGAAAAGCGTCGCGGCGTTGGGGCGTCCTGCGTTACGTCGAGCCCGCCGGAATGCGTAAATATACAAGTCGAGAGACAAGCGTGCCGATGCTGTAAACACGACTCTCCCAAATTTATAAGGACTCGTGACTCTTCTCTGAGGCCATGACGTGAGAGCGGAATGTCGAAACCGGATCAGTAGTTTAAATTGGTACCCATGCCAATGAGAGGGATAGCAGAAGTCTCAATCGCCACTATGTATCAATCCTTGGAAAATGTCCACCTGGAATTCAACTCCATTTCTCTTTTCCTGATATCCAGCACTTCTGATCCGCCACGAGAAACAATGTATAATTTATTATAAATACATAGATCTTATTGTTTGACAGTAAATACTTGTATGATTTCAGGACTCGCAGAACGGCCCGGTGCTGGACCGATGGAGCATCTGCTCGGCTGAGGAGGAACCGCTGGTTTTACAGCAGTTCCTCAGATTCGCCGAGACGCGTCCCTTCGTACAGCAGTTGCTTTTGGCCGCCGGAGCGCCAGGGTCGGATGTTATGTCCCCCAGCCGGCGACCATCCCCCCCGACGATGCCTCTAGCACACTTGCCACCCCCATTACACCTTTTACATTGTGGTATACCACCACCAGGGTCGAGACTACCGCCTCCACCGCCTCCGCCCCCGCCACACTCAGCGCCTGTCTCTCATCCATCGATGTCACCATCCGCGCAAAAGCACTACTCGACGGCGGGCAGCAACCCTAGCCTTTCAACGAACTCCTCCAGTGCGCCGTCGAGAGCGATGGAGGCAGCAGCTGCTGCGGCTGCAGTCGCAGCATCTCATCTCACAGTCTCACCTCTTAATAGACTGCAGAGTATGCAGCCTTTCGATTTTCGCAAACTCGGGACTCTTGGTCTACCAGCGTTTCCGCCTTTGCCGCCGCCACCACCTCAAGATGCATTGATGCAATCACGGAAGAGCACGAGACATCCTCAGAGTCCTCACAGTCCACCTCATCATTCATCTAGTTCTCGGCTGAGGCCTCCGGTATCGGGAGCACCTGTTTCCTCAGCAGCGATGACGTTTAATCATCCCTTGGCGGTGGCAGTATCTTCGGGAACTCTGCCACCGAATTTTCCTACTCATTTTCAGCACCCGTCTATTGGAAAACCTCCAATGAACAGTATATCGGGAATGCCCAGTGCGGATCCTCACAGTGGCGGAGAAAAGAGCAGCGAATTCGGCTCGGAAGAGGATGAAGATGACGATGAGAATTCAGGAAGTGCTCTGAATCTCAGCAGAAGGGATTCCGGATCGAAATACATGGATCACCGGCATTCTCAACCTCTACCTCTTCAAACGGCACCTCTCGGAAGGCCTCCTGGTGTTCCTGGCAGAAAACCTCACTCGCCGGGTAAGAGACATCAGTGGGGTGCTTCTCCAAACATGCCCCCAAATCTAGGGACACCCTTTATAAATCCTGCCACGGGTAAGAAGAGGGTGCAGTGCAACGTCTGCCTGAAGACTTTCTGCGACAAGGGTGCACTCAAAATTCACTTTAGTGCCGTGCACCTTCGCGAGATGCACCAGTGTACGGTGAAAGGATGCAGTATGATGTTCAGCTCGAGAAGATCCAGAAATCGGCATAGCGCGAATCCTAATCCTAAGCTACATTCCCCACACCTTAGAAGGAAAATCTCACCTCACGATGGACGATCGTCCATGGCTCACGCTCTGGTCCTACCACCTCAAGTTGGTCTACCGGTACCAGCGACAGGTCTCAATCCTTTATCCTTTGGATCCTTCCCTTTGCTTACTCCGCCGCCTGATCTCCGTTCCCCAGCATCCCTCTGTGCTCTCGACTTCAAGCATCTGGACTTATCCTCTCAGAATGCCAGAGCTTACGACGAAAATGTTCAACAAAGAACAAGCACGACGAGCACAACGTCGACGACAAAAGCACCGTCTAACACAACAACAGCGAGTATGTCACCGTCAGCACCACCTACGATACCGGAAGGGGAGGAGGACGATGACGACGATGACGGTGGAATTGTAGTCGTGGCTGAAGAGGATAATCTTCAACTAACCAGACTGTCGCATAGGGACGATGATGATCAACCAACGGACTTCAGTTTAGCAAAGCGACCTAAACTCTTCCTAGGTGACATGGCTGACGATGAACTCATCAGTAATCCAGATAGCAATGAAGACAATGATTCCATGGTAGGAACCATGGACCATCACTCTTCATCCATAAACATAACCTCTGGAAATTCAGCATTTCACAGTCGCGGGGTACGCAAGAGAAAGTCTCAAAATCCTACGAGATGCACAATTCCCGCAGAGGTCCATTCGTCTTCGACTGACGGTGATTCCTCAAACGACGCCGTATTTCAGGATCAACCCGAGGACATGTCCATGTCTCGACTAGAAGCTGAGGAAAGAAAAAACTCACCATCTCCCAAACAAGCGATTTCTCATGAAGAGTCGAGATTCGACTCTCCTGACAGACACGAGAGAGACCCGAGAGAATTGACAGCGGCTGCAGTAGTTAATAGCAGCACTGCCAATGCGGAAGGTGCCAATCAGCATGAAACCATCATGACCGAAGAGAAGAATGATTCCGTAGGAATATCTCAGGAGAGACCCAGAGACTTATCCTCCACAACGAACACCGGTAGATCTCCGAAACGGCAACTAACCCCAGAACCTAAGTACACCCCTGGGACTAAACAGGAATTGCCATTAACCGTATCATCCCCCATGCAGCCAGGAAACTCCTACCTAACAACGAGCATTCGCGAAACGAATTCTGGCAACGAGATGAGTAAGAGCGCAAAAGAGAGCGGAAGAGTGGACAAGCTCGAAGCGAAAGAGAGCATGGAGGAGGATAAGGCTATGCAGGACCGAGTGATGAGGCAGAAGAACGAACCGGAAGAAGAAGGACATCAAGCAATGGAGGCGGACGAGGATGTCAAGGATAACGAAGCTCATGATGATGATCGTGATCGTCCTAACGTCAGGCAGGAGGATGACGAGGATCAGGACGAAGAAGAGGACGAGGATGAGGAGATCCAGGAGGAGGATGACGAGGAGGAGGATGAAGCTCTTCAGAATCAAGAAGGTGAGCGTCCCGATGATGATATTCCGCGTGCCCCGAGCTCGGTCGACAGCCACCCGAGTACTAGTGACGACCTGTCCCTCGACTCCTCGAATGCTTTGCGTCAACTCGAGTCCTTGTCGCAGGGTCGCATGCCGTTCGGAACGCAGGAGGCTTCGAGGTCTGGCCGCATCTCTACCAGCCCCAGCCTCATGATGGACACCATGGACAACTCCTCTCATGGCTCTCGCTCATCCAGCGCCTCGCCCTCCACAGCGGCCATGGATACGGACAATAGTCTCATCACCTATGCGAGATACGAGAATGGTGGCTTCGTCAGTACCCAGGAGGTACCGCTCGACCGTGACAATCCGCGCCGATGCACAGCCTGCGGCAAAGTCTTTCAGAATCACTTTGGCGTCAAGACCCACTATCAGAACGTCCACCTGAAGCTGATGCATCGCTGCAGCGTCGATGGGTGTAATGCCGCGTTTCCATCGAAGAGATCTCGTGACAGACACTCTGCCAATCTCAATCTTCACAGGAAACTATTATCAACCTCATCGAGTCCTCCATTGTCCTCGACCATGCCAGCGAGTCTATCGCCCCGTATTGATGATTCTCAGATGAATCCACTTCTGCACAACGACTTTCTAGCGCGACTCTACGCGGATGCACGTATTGGAGCCTTAGGAGGTTATCCAATGCCACCAGGATTGTCCTCGGGAGTTGATTTAGCCGCCAGGATTCCGCCACCCCATCCCCTCCTGCTACCACCTCACTTGGGCGGTAATACGTTTCCGGATCTGACGTCTTTCGCCTCGCATCTTGCCGGTCTGAACGGTCTCACACATCAGCATCTGAGTCATCTGAACCACCTGACGAGACTGTCCCAGGAGCAAAGTGCGAGACACATGTCATGTTCAGCTTCGCCAGGTTCGCCTCAGGAAGACGCATCCAGGAAGGACGAGGCCAGGTGCACGATTCCTGGTTGCGACAGAGTCTTCGGGTCCAGAGCCGTCAGAGATGCGCACTCGAGGGATCCACAAGCTCACAGAGATCTTCAGATCCTTTCGACCGGAACTGGATCGTGACCAGTCTCGTTCTGTCGTCCTCTGGACAGACACAATGACTATCCTCCGCTGTGATGCCAAAATTTTACTAACAACCGTGCGTGTCCTTGCGAGTCCTCAGTGTTACGCCGGAAATCGTGTGACGGGTTTACGAGAGACGAATCAAAGTAACAACTATTATCTCTCTATTAATTCGTGTCGATGAAAGTGCTAGAGCTTCTCAAGAAACTTGAACATAATGCCGCCTGAGTGCATGCAACAACTACAGAGCATCAAATACATCATACATCATACGTTAAGATCTCCCCCCCTCTCTCTCTCTCTCTCTCTCTCTCTCCCTCTCTCTCTTTATACAAAAACCGTGCAATACCAAATACTCCGGCCCAAGTCACGGGTCTATGAAGTAATACGAAAGCTCCTGTGTAGAGATGTACTTTAATTTTTCAACGTTTTCTCCCACTTTCTTGATATTCTTGTTTTTTTACTTTGCCTTTTTACTCTGTGGGAAAATGCACTCGCGAGAAAGATTCTAGTACGTCGTGTTGTGTACCGTTGAGAGTGTGGATGCGCCAGTATGAGAAAAAGTTAGTATGTGTGAATGAGGTGCGTGAAGAAAACGTTTGACGAAAATTGAATGAAGAGAAAGAGTAAATGCGAAAAGGAAAAAAAACAAATGATAGCTGAATAACTGATCGAAATGCTCTCTCTGAGGATCGTAAGAAATGATTTGGATATGAAATCGTATCGGAAATCATGAGGGTGATCGCTAGTCGATTGCGATCGATTTACGATGCGATTTATCTTCCGGCCCTGGTTCACGCCCTACTTTTATCATTGTTGTGATAACGTATATTTAGTAAATACGCTACTATTTAATCACTAACCTATTAGTACTGCTGTATATATCAATGTATCGCGTAACGATCATTAAATTTAGAGCGTAAACGTTATTGATAATCGACATCACCTTCTTCCCTCTTTGAACGGTGACCACTGAATATTTTGTAAAGAGACGTGTTGTCAGAATGGAAAGGAAAAAAGGGATTTAAAAAAATGGCAAAATCGAGATGAATATGGATGAAGAATAATTAAGTGAGGCACATATACGCGCATAGACACACACAATTCATAAGGGATTAGGCATGGTGATCGTCAACCTTTAATGGCAGCTAGAAATGAAAAATGCAATGTCGTGTTAGTGCAGGGAACTAGAAACGAGTGTAGAATGTTGAATACGGCGAATTATGGAGGATGAAAAATTGACCAGTGAATCGAATAAAAAATACACGGAGAGGATTCTCATGGATCCTGTCGACGGCGTCGTCGTCTCGCTAGATAATTGAGAATAGATAGATTTTATTTATTGTTTCCTAGGAATCTTAACGATACTCTGTACCAGCGGCCAGTAGCGGGCACTGCCGCAGAACTTCCTCCTTAGATTTTAAAAAGCGTACCATCATTTTCTAGCGCGTAACAATGGTGATATGTGAACGATCGGTTTCGTGGCGCTGACGATCTTTCATAATCAAACATTTTCCTAGTGATTCGCCTGGCTGTAGCGTATGGCTTGAATAAGAAGTATTATGCACTGCAATGAAAATAAACTAATCAACAGTGAATCCAATAATTACGTATAAAAGTGAAACTTGCACGTTCCACGTATTCGAGCGCCGTCAGCGCCGTCCAACCGATGTGGCTCCTCTACGATTTTGGTTGTAAATACGTTTATTTTCATATCAAATATAATTTGGCATAAATATATAAATATAAATATAAATATATAAATATCGATACGGTGAAGTATCGATTCATCGGAGACCCCTTTTCTACGTGTTTTTTAGTTTAATCCTCTCGTCTCTCGGCGCCTCACTGTTCACGGAGTAAGCATCAATCCGATAAGAGTAAGATACGCGATAAGAAGGACGAAAGAGCGACACGAAAGAAAATTAAAAAAGGAAAACTTTACAAATGTAATTATGTATAAACTGAACGCTATGATGTATATTATAGATCAATTATAAAGAACATTCATCATTATGAAAATAAATATAAAAATTAATAAATCGTAAACCCACTCTCGTTCGATCCCTCGTGTGCCACAATAATCAATCTGATTATAATCATCAAGACAATCTGGACTCTCGCTTTTCTCAAGGAAAATTCTTATTCTCTCACACCAATTTATCCATGTAACATGTACTCACTATCCACAAACATACTCTTATTGTACACGTACGTTTTATTCACATATATGAATACGCAGATACCCAGTGGTAAGATAAATGGATTTGGCGTGACTTCAGTCTCGCACACGTATCCACGTTGTCGTCACGCACGTACATTGTTGTACCTAGAGGAGAGGGGACACGTATCCACACATGTCTATTATTGCATACAGAGAGCGCTCACCACACGCAGGAACGTCGTGCACGTGACAGGTGCAGCGTGGGAGAACAGACAGGAGAGGAGAAGGCGAGAAGAAGAGAGAAACAGGTAAAGAAGAGGAAGAGAGAGAGAGAGAGAGAGAGAGACAGAGATCGAAGGCGGTCTCGAGTTAGTATTTGCCGCCCACCGACATCCCCTGCTTCCTTTCTTACCCTGAACCTCGACTGATCCTACCTCGATCCGACCCCACCATACCTTTCACGTGGTCACCTTTACTCAGGACTTGCTAGTTCGTGACAGTCTCCCTGTGATTTTACTTAGATGCCTGCATGCCTACATGGTTACGCGGATGCCTACTTGCATGTGCAACGATATGCCGAGTATATTAGCTAAAATACACGTTTACGGTTTGCGGTGGAACGGTGTACGATTTCGAAAAATCTTATGTGACAGTCACTAAATATTTTTTGATTGCTCATCGATTGTGCATATTATTGTTCGTTCAACTTCTGTTGACAAATAAAAAAGTCATCTTTGCCATTTCCAGTGATATCGAATGAAGTTAAATGCAAAGTCATAGAGCAAGAAAAACAGAGGACGGCTAGCATACATAACGAGTAAGACATTTGCGCCCGAAATTTTGTAACTTTTTGACAGATTTCCAATACTGGCGGACCACCTTAGCCTCGTGCAGCAGCTCAGGCCGAACATGCGATTCGCAATTGTTTTAAGATTCGCGTTCAGTCAGACGCAAACACGTACACGGCGGCTAAGATGTATTGCGATGCTTATGTAAAATAGGCGCTTAATAGCACCGCCCGATTAAGTTTTCCAGAACTAATATTACTAAAATTGCTTTTTCGCGGAGAACGTTTTTCTTAGTTCCGGAATATTCCATCGGGTAACTATCCGTATGAACGATTTTTAATTTCTATTATTTTTTCCTTCGCATGTCACTTTCAGATAGACATTAAATTTTTGATCAGCAGATTCTAATAATACACCAAAGAGAATCATTTAATCGAACTATGAAAATCATCGTTAATTTTGCAAATATCGAATCATTGATTGTTTGTTCTGATATTACAGGTACCCAGGTAAATTGAGCGTAGATTGTGTCAGTTCTACTGTATGAAAAAGGAAGAACGAACGTAGAATAAAGATCATTGAAGAGAGATCTTTAACTCGATGACGTGGTCTGGCCGTGTACTGTAGTTGTAAAGGGTGCTCTCACTAAATACATGGTTGGCAGTGGCCGCCGGGCCATTTAATCAGCCAGTCCGTGTTGAGCTTCCATGTCGAACCATGAATATCTCGAATACATCTACCAGGATAAAAATCTCTTAGCAATTTCAGACCTGGTGCACATGTCGCGTGCCATCCGGTACGTTTTCTAACTGAATTAGACCCTTTGCCATGTTTCTGCTCCCACCTCTTCCTGGAGAATTACACGAAATAAGGAAGCACCATGATGAAGGAACCGTTGGCTTGTTCTTCCTATCTCCGTTCCTGATCTGTTGATTCGAACGCCGATCTACTCTCGCTACCAATTACGCTCTGGTACCGTCACACCGATAATAACTCTTCGATCGCTTAATAGATCCGTATCATCTGTCTGATCATTAGCTCACGATTCACTTCCGCGCTCAGTTGATATCCTGTCCATGGCCCTGTAAATACTAGCTATGTAAATTTTTGTTATATTGTTACAAAGAACTTATCATTGAGATTTTCGAATCAATCCATGGATTCAATTTGGCAGCGCCGACGACCACGCGTTTTCCGTAGAAACTGAAATGTCAGGTGGAGTGATCGACTCGCGCGATGCTGAAACATTTGCCAGGTTTTGTCATACGGAACGTGACGAAACGACCCTCTGATTATTACTTCGCATGATTTTATATCCTTAAAGGACTACACGGTGGAAATTATTGTGAAAGACTTATAATGATCGACGCTATCGAATTTTAGAATAAAAATAATCCAAAATCTTATCCGATGTAAATATCTTAAGAAATACCGAAAAATCCTTTAACCCAAGATAGTCCCACCGACAGTTTCGTGTGCTGCGTGAAATCTCTCGATAGTTACGCCCGATAACGAACAGCTATCCGTAACGGCAACAAATTGGGGTTCTCTAATCGCACTAATACATCAACAGCCGCCGTAAGTTTGACGGTAAAATTGCTCGAGTCCTTCTGCAGGGTCGATCGTATCAACTCCCTGAAGGCAGTGCAATGTCGGCTTCTATTTTTGAATAGCCTAGAAGAACGACGTCCTGACGCAGAAGACGTTGATAAGAGAAGGAAATAAAAAATATATTTTACCCTAGCAAAATAATCCTAATAAAAATTTCCTCGGGCCATCAAGTAAGCCTATAAGCAGAGTACAGAGAACTGGGTAGGAGTCCAATGGGTGGCGGCAACGTGTAGTCGGCAATAGTCATACAAGATTATATTTGTGTTGTGTTTGGTAGTAAAACAATCTCTAAGATCTTGCAGAGTGAAATTAGAAGAGTACTGGTATAAAAGGAACGGAATGAGTTAGTTATAACCTATGCTCGATGCCTGGCAAATCAAGGAGCAGCTGCCTCACGGCTGGGCCACATGAGCAACATGAGCAACAACAGAGCAAAGCTGCAACACCAATAGCAACAGCAACAGCCACTGCAGCAGCAACTGCGAATTCAACGCCGGGCTATCACGCGAAGATAGTTGGAAGACAACGACCGGCACTCAGGAGGCCGTAAAAAGGAGACGGGAATGTCACTGAATGATGGACCACGGGACCGGCTCGGTAAGTAATTCTTCAGCAATTACATAATTACTCGTAGTTAGCCCTTTACTCCTTGCCAGAGAAGAGTCGTTACGATATTTACTACTATATAATGGTTGCCCCTGCCAACAGACGGGGCCCCGGACGAGCGGCCAGCCAATCGACAGCCCCAAGACTTTAAAACCTGCCGCGTCCTCTGAGGTATTCTTATTTTCGAAAAACGGCAGCAACCTGGTACAGTCGACTTCGAGAATCTTGGACAAGTTGCAAGAGGACATTGTCTAGCGAAAATCGACCGACTGTGTAATTATTGATATTAAGAGAGTCCATGGAATTCCAGGTACTCTAATTTGCTTCTTTTCTCGAATTCCCATAGCTTCACATAGGTATTCATCCTTCGGTAAAGAGGAATAATCCCATAGCGTGGTCCATCTTTGGTCCAAAAGAAAAAGGATGGGCTGCTCTAGCGATGACTTTCTACAGGGAGGCAGGCAGTCAGTCAGGCAGGCAAGCAGGGAGGGTGAGATGGCGGCACAGGGAGGCAAATATAGCAAGAAAAAAGGCAACACACGTGACCTGTGTTTAAGGTGGTTTCGCTCTCAAGCCTCAGCAATCTCAGGAAGGAGAAGGAGGAACCTTTTAATTCTTATTTGCGGCGGCGGCGGCGGCGGCGTCGTCTTCTCGTTCGGCACGCAAACGTGAGAACCGCGGCTCCGGCTCACAGGCCATTGGGCCGAATCCTTGCAAATCCTTGCGAGTCCTCGTGTGAATTCGCACGAGTAATGTGCGAATCTGATTTCAATTTTGATATCAGTTCTGGGAGACTGAATCGACGGGCACTCGTCCACGAGTCGAGTCCGTATCGGTCATCGGTAATAAATATCAAAATAAATTGCTGGACCCCAACGACCCGCGAAGATCCGTAAAGCAAACAACAATAATAATTATTTGATAAGCAATAACTTAAAGCCAGGGCTGTTCTTACGTTCTTGGCTTATAATATCTATAATGGGCTGTTCTACTCGAGTGACCTGTCGGCTGCGGCTGAATTAATGGCGGCTGAGATTTCGCGAGAAACGAGGGGCCCATAAGGCAGCTGCTATTGTGGATCGTGGCTCACGAACCTCACTGACGATCTTTCTATTGCTCTTTACTTTTCTTGAATAATCTATGCTCAATATAATCGCCCAACCATCAGCGGGTCCTTTGGTATGACGCTTTTATCGAAAAACAGTCAGTCCGAGACTCTCGAGAGGCCCTTGTGAATAATCATAGGAAGGATACGGTAACGAGGGCCCGTCTCACCCACCGCTAATTAAAATCTGCCCAAGGAATACATTACACGCGCTTCGAAGGGTCCCAAGGGAGGAAGACAGCCTATGGGGGATGCCGCCCACTATATACAATTTGACACTTCATTATTCCCATGCCCTCGTGTAGGACCCCATCATTAAAACCAGATTAGTTTCGTACGTAATCGTAAAGTCGGACCCAAAGTCTGAAGATCGTGGCACGAAGTTGGGTCCGTTTCACGGAAGCTGGTGAAGTAGAAGTGTCTCAGTTAAAAGTCAACAGAAAGTAAAATCACACGAAATATAAGCACGAGTCTCTACAGTGTCTTATCTTTATCGTTAATGACCATTGGATACCACCGTTAAGGTGGTCCAACAACGCTTACATAAGTAAACTTCGATCCAGTCAGGAATCCACATTGCATGTATAAACAATCTATGCAAATCATCTCGACATCGCCAAAAGTAGACCCTATGAAACATCCCTAACGTTCAGTGAAATCCTGCGAAAAGGAAATGGTCTCCCCAGCACTAGGGGTTCTCTCCATATTCCCTCTCTGTGCTTCTTCATCCCCTTTTGACTGACGATATTGACGTGGCGCGCATACGTTAGTATTACAACAGCAGACTAATGCCGCTACTACCCAGCTTACTAAGGATTAACGTCATGTATCAAATGGTCAACCGTTATAGTACATACCAGTGTAGAAATGTCAGTTGAAAACTCAAAATTTAATGCCGGACAGGTTGTAATATTACTTGAAGGACTTACAACCCTTCTGCCAATTTTGATCAAACTCTCGTCCAGAAAATATGATTACTAATTTAGAACGAGGCTGGTAATAAACTTATGCCTGACCCATATTGCAATTTTTCGACTTTTCGTCAAGGAATGTCGACAGAGTCACTGGCTTCTCTACATGTTTTGTTTCACTGGGCGTGCGAGCGGCAGGTATTTTTTTGCGAAAATCAGAGTTTACTACCTACCACAGCAAGAATGCTCCTTTGTCTCTTTATGGTCTGAAAGTGCCCCGCGAGCGAGCTTCGCGAACTGCCTTCAACGGCGCATTGGCGTCTCAGACGCCGTGAAGAAGTACCTGGGGATAATAACGAGTTTCGCTCGCTGTCGTCCCTTCGTAGCCCAGCGCAGCACAAGAGCCGTAAAACGACCGAAGCTTTTCTTGCAAGGTAGACGGTGTCAATTTTTTATCGTCGCCTGATCATCTTCTCTCCTCCCCCCTACCCTACCCTAATTCATACTATGTCATGAAATGCATATGCGTTAGAAATCTGTAATCGTATTAACAGGTACTTTACGTACTTAAGGTAAATAGATCAGCTCTTGCTGGTTGACACTTTACCATTACTATTATTGTATTCATAGGCTCAGTTTGATTGTGTATACTCTGTGACGTGATTTTTCGAATCACGGTCCCAAGGCGGCTCCGGTTACCGATACAGATAACGTTCTCGATTCCTGCCCGAGTTAAGGATGTGGTGCCTAACTGTCGCCTGATGTCCTGGGGAAGCGGCCGTGGAGGATCTCCAGAAGTTACGTACCGATTCGTTAAGAAACGCTCTCGATTTGGTTTAAAGGGACGACTCGAAAGAGATGGAAGAGTTAGCGGTTATAAGGCTCTCGACCAATCAGAATGATTAGTTCGCGGATTTGCCATTTGGCTATTACAGTTTGGCTATTGTCAAAGCAGTTTGTCTCGGGGCACCAACCGAGGTGTCATGGGCTGGCTCGCGCTCCCGTGCTATCTGTTGATAGTTTTTCTTGCCGTGTTTCGCTACGGTATAGCAAGTTCTCGATTCGTA